TAAGTTCTTGAGAACACAGGCTAAGGGAGAAGAAGGAGGAATGGAGGGTGAAAGGTTGCCCATAGTGAAGGAGGCAAGTTTAAAGAGAAGGGTAGCGACATGGAGAAGTGGGGTGGGGAGCAGCCCCGGGCTGCAACGTGGGTGAGCAGCCACAGCAGGCGTCCCCACAATTGACTTGCCACCAAGGGAATGTGGATAAATGACCAAGGCAGGCGTCCCAGCAGAGATCAGACACCAATGGAACGTGGGTGAATAATCAGAGAGGCATCCTGGCAATGACTACACACCAAGGGAAGGCTGTCTTCCCAAGTCCGTGACCGGTGCCGGAGTTTTGGGTCCACGGATAAAATGTGTCTCCTTTATCTCTACCAGAAAATGAAAGGAATTGAAATTAAGAGAAGGGAGAGATTGAAGGGTGGTGCCAAGATTGAAAGGAGAAAGAGGTTGGGGGATGGTGAGAAAGGTTGGAAAACAGAGTAAAAAGAGGCCACTTACCTGATTTAAAATCGGTGAGATGTTCCTTGGGCTGGTTGGTCTGAGGACCTGAGGTCATAGGTGGATCTCTTCACAGGTGACTGGTCTCCCGAAGGAGTCCCGCTGACCCGGGTCTTCGGCACCAAATGTCTCACGTGTTCATGTGAAGAGACCGCCAAACAGACTTTGTGTGAGCAACAAGGCTGTTTATTTCACCTGGGTGCAGGTGGGCTGAGTCCAAAAAGAGAGTCAGCAAAGGGTGGTGGGATTATCATTAGTTCTTACAGGTTTCGGGATAGGTGGGGTTAAGAGCAATGTTTTGGGGGCAGGGAGGATCTCATAAAGTACATTCTCAAGGGTGGGGAGAATTACAAAGAATTACAAATTCTTAAAGGTGGGGAGATTACAAAGTACATTGATCAGTTAGGGTGGGGCAGAAACAAATCACAATGGTGGAATGTCATCAATTAAGGCTATTTTCACTTCTTTTGTGGATCTTCAGTTGCTTCGGGCCATCTGGATGTACACATGCAGGTCACTGGGGATATGATGCCTTAGCTTGGGCTCAGAGGCCTGACAATGTTAACATACCTGATGTTAGCATAGCATATGTTTTAGTTTAGCTTAATGCTAGCTGAATATTTCTTTTGTCTGGTCATATACTTATTTTAAAAATATGAATATTCTGTATCTTTTGTTGTTGTTGTTTAGGTGTATTGTTTTGACTTCCTAGAAGAGACCCCCAGGTAGAGTGGTACACTAGCTGCTACTAGTGCACCCAAGCCTGGGAATCAGGAGAAGCCTCACAGTGACACCCCCAACTGAGGAAACTCACGGAGCTGCAGGTAGAGCTGGGACATACTCTACTTCTTTGGACAAAAATATACTGACTAGAGTGGAGTCCCCCTGGGGAGTCAGAAAGCCTGAGAAAGATCTCACTTGTTTGAAAGTTCAAGTGTGAATTACTCCCTCACAGATAAACCAAAGTATTTTGAAAAACAAAGGGGAGAAAAGAAATTACTCCCCAGAACTCTCAGGCATCTAGAGGACACCTAAGAACTTGGGAGTCAGCTACTTCTTGTGTGCAGCCATGAAGTCTGCGCACTCCGATCCCCAGAACACAAGTCATACCATCATGACTTTTTACCCGACCATGGAAGAATTTACAGATTTCAACAAATATGTTGCTTACATGGAGTCCCAAGGCGCACACCGAGCTGGCCTTGCCAAGGTAATTCCACCCAAGGAATGGAAAGCCAGACAGATGTATGATGATATCGGAGACATCTTAATAGCCACTCCCCTCCAGCAGGTGACCTCTGGACAGGCAGGGGTGTTTACTCAATACCATAAAAAGAAGAAAGCCATGAGGGTGGCGGAGTATCGCCACTTGGCAAACAGTAAAAAATATCAGACTCCACTACACCGGAATTTTAGAGATTTGGAGCGACAATACTGGAAGAGCCACCCTGGTAATTCAGCAATTTATGGTGCTGATATTAGTGGCTCCTTGTTTGAAGAAAACACTAAACGGTGGAACCTACGACACCTGGGAACAATTCTGGACCTGCTGGAGCAGGAATGTGGGGTTGTCATCGAGGGTGTCAACACACCCTACCTGTACTTTGGCATGTGGAAGACCACGTTTGCTTGGCACACGGAGGACATGGATCTTTACAGCATCAACTACCTGCACCTTGGGGAGCCCAAAACATGGTATGCAGTGCCCCCAGAACATGGTCAGCGCCTGGAACGCCTGGCCAGGGAGCTCTTCCCGGACACTTCTCGGGGCTGTGAGGGCTTCCTGCGGCACAAGGTGGCCCTCATCTCGCCAACAGTTCTCAAGAAGAATGGGATCCCCTTCAATCGCATGACTCAGGAGGCTGGGGAGTTCATGGTGACCTTTCCCTATGGCTACCACGCTGGCTTCAACCATGGCTTCAACTGCGCAGAGGCCATCAATTTTGCCACTCCACGATGGATTGATTATGGCAAAGTAGCTTCACAGTGTAGCTGTGGGGAGGCGAGGGTGACCTTTTCCATGGGCGCCTTTGTGCGCATCCTGCAACCAGAGAGCTATGAGCTCTGGAAACACAGGCAAGACTTGGCCATTGTGGATCACACAGAGCCCAGGGTTGCAAAAAGCCAAGAGCTGAGCAACTGGAGAGATGATATAGTACTTAGAAGAGCTGCTCTGGGCCTGAGGCTTCTCCCAAACCTCACAGCCCGGTGTCCCACACAGCCTGTGTCCCCAGGGCACTGTTACAACCCAAAAGGTTGTGGCACTGATGCTGTGCCTGGATCTGCATTCCAAAGCTCTGCATATCATACCCAGACCCAGTCACTTACCCTGGGGATATCAGCCCAGGTTGTTCTCCCTTCCACTGGAAGCTGGGGTTCTTGTGGTCGTGGTCATGGTCGTGGTCGTGGTCATGGTCATGGTCGTGGTCGTGGTCGTGGTCGTGGTCGTGGTTGTGGTCGTGGTCGTGGTCGTTGTCCTCGAGAACTGGGGACTGAGGAGACAACTGTTCAGCCTGTATCCAAGAGGCGCCTTTTAATGGGTACAAGGAATAGAGCTCAAGGCCGCAGGCCTCAGCTCCAGCTTGACAATGATTTGATGACAAATCCGTCCTTTTGAGTGGTGGCCTTCCACATCTTGCCAAAGGTTCTGGCTGCTGCTGTGTCCCTGATCTTCAACTCCTGAGGCCCCCACTGGATCCTGATGAAACCATGCACCCTGGCCCATGCCTGCTATCCCTCAACAGCACTACTAGTAATCTCCCTGATGTTGTCTGAATGACTCCTCCCAATGTCATTGTGCCTTTGATTAAGTTTTCCAGGGACACTGGTGGGGACTGGAAATCCCTGGTGAACATGGGCAAGGTTGTAGCAGTGGACCACTCTTATGGCTCTAGGGTTCTGACCCCAACTAAGTTTTCCAGAATCTCCTGGGCTCCTGAGTCATCTGCTGGGGCTAAAGACAGGCAGAGATACATCACTGAGTTTGGGGATATTTTCCTCTAATGCATGATCAATCCTCTGGACCCATGGTTATGGAATATGGTGACAAATGTCAGTGTCTCTCTCATCCCAACCTCAGCATCAAAGAAGATTCTTGCCAAGGACAGTTGTAGCCTGGGCCTCTGCTCAGTGAAGATTCTTTACCTGCAGTAACTGACACATTTCCAAGGCCCCCAGATACTGTCACCAACTGTGACAACCAGGGCTTCCAGAGGCCACTGAACACTCCTCCCAACAGGTTGCCATAGGATGTTGTGGAACCTCTCAGGGACTCTCTGTTTACTTCACATTGTGCCTGTGGCCTCCACCATGGCCTAGATGCCACGGACAGCACTTGTTTCTGATGTCCCCCTTAGGATACCTCCCTTACAGTGCTATGAGTCCAGATCCCATGGTAATTTGAGCCCACAGTGGATGATGCTGAGAATCTGACTGAACCTCTCATTTTTACTTCTCATCTGGTCCTCTATGTCTCTGACCCCGGATTCCACTGGACATTGCTACAGCCCCAGTGGGGTTCAGGGCTTCTCACAATCCTTCAATTGCAATATGCCCTTTATCCCAGGCCACCATCCACTGCTCATGTACAAACTAGACCTTTTGACCAACTGACTTACTTAGCCAGTTATGGCTTCATAGATATTTTGTAACTATACTGATGTTAATTAAATTTGCTGTCTCTAATGTGTATCTCCAAAGAAAATAAAATTCTTAGTACATGTTTTTAAAATTAGAATATAAAATATATATATCCAAAAGAAAGTGATTTAGAAAAGAGATTGAGATAAAAGAATGGGGAAACTATACCAAACAAAGAACAAAGTAGCTTTACAGATCTTAATATCAGGCAAACCTGAATTGAGACCAAAGGTACATAGCATGGGTCTTCAAAATGCAAAATACTAAATTTCACAATGAAATTACAGCGGTCATGAATATTCAAGTAAGTTCCACAAAGTATAAATTATAGTAGGTAAAAGACAAGTTTAAAGAAACAGATTAAAAATAGGAACATTTAAGTCACCAGTATGGTTTGGATATGTGTTCCTCCCCAAATCTCATGTGGAATTTTAATCTCTAATGTTGGAGGTGGGGCCTGGTGGGAGATGACTGGATCGTGGCGGGGGTTTGTCATGAATGATTTAGCAGTATCCCCGTAGTGCTATTCTTGTGATACAGTTCTAGGAGTATCTGGTTGTTTAAAAGTGTGTACCACCTTCCCCCTCTCCCTTCCTCCTGCTCCAGCTATATATGATGTGTCTGTTTCCCCTTTCCCCATGACTGTAAATTTCCTGAGGCTTTCCCAGAAGCTGAAGCTCCTGTGCTCCCTGCACAGCCTGCAGAACCATGAGCCAATTAAAACGCTTGTCTTTATAATATAAATTACCCAATTTCAGGGATTTTTTTTTTTTTTAAATGTAGTTTCGCTCTTGCCCAGGCTGCAGTGCAGTGGCACAATCTCAGCTCACTGCAACCTCTGCCTTCTGGGTTCAAGCGATTCTACTGCCTCAGCCTCCCTAGTAGCTGAGATTACTGGCGCCTGCCACCACACCCAGCTAGTTTTGTATTTTTAGTGCAGATGGTGTTTAATCATGTTGGCCAGGCTGATCTCAAACTCCTGACCTCAGGTGATCCACCTGCCTTGTCTTCCCAAAGTGCTGGGATTACAACCGTGAGGGACCACACCCAGCCTTCAGGTATTTCTTTACAGCAATGTGTGAATGAAACAGTCTCTCATCCAAGGCAGAAAAAAATGGAGAAATATAAGGATATGGAAAACTTAAACTACATTAACAGTAAGGTAGTATTGACCTACTAGATGATAGAAAATACTTCCTCTCTTCAAGTACCAAAAAAGCCAAATTTTCACAAAACAATAAATATCTATTACATGCATAAACTCTGCAGTAAGAAAGCCTGATTTTGTTCCCAAGTTTCTCTTATCAGCTTGTGTGACCTTGAAAATTACTTAACCTTATGACTCAGTTTCCTCAACATAAAATGAAGATAGCACCTACCTCATGTGTTTAGTTGACAGTTCTATGCATTAATATGTGCAATTTGTTAATATCAATGCTTGGGACACAATAGCATTATTGGAGTGTTTCTAGATTTAAAACTTAATAAAATACAAAGAAATATATGAGATTCATTTACAATAGTGCTGAAAATATTGCAGCCTTAAGTATTTTCTTCATCATATTCAAAGAATGAAATTAACTGGATTAAACTTCTAATGTACAAGTTAGGAAAAGATAAACTGAAAGTAGTTGGAAGGAATTCACACATGTATACAAATAAATTAATGAGTTAAAATAACTGTAAAATATATACTAAATCAACACAAAGCACCAATGATATGGATTTTTTGTTAGAAAAATTAACTTACTAAACAAAAAATTTAAGGCATAAACTTCTGTGTCTGATATATAGAAAGAGCAGAAGATCTGCCCATTCAAAAATGAAGATTAGACAAATTCGCAGAGGAATTGTGTGACATCTTCATTTCTAATATACCTAGGCCTTTAAAATGAGAAAAAAATTTCATATTTTAAATTAAGTACATCATTGACAGAAAATCCTGATGAATCGCAGAATGAGAGAAAAGAGACAAAACTTATTGATGAACATCAATGTAAAAATTTTAACTTAAGCATTAGCTGAGATAATCTAAGTACATTAAAAGAGTAACATATGATGATTACATGGGATTTATTGCAGGAAGGTAACAATAGTTTAAAGCAAGGAAATCTGGAAATATAACTTATCTTGTAAATGTATCCAGAAATTATATGATTATGTTTATAGATGCTGATAGTCATTTGATAAAATTCAGCAGTCAGTCTTGGTTTACACTCACCCACAAGGAAGCAATGACTCCTTCCATAAAATAAAATACAAAATTGTTTATCTAGTAGTGAGCTATTTTAGACCCAAGCCACCATTTTCCTTAATGTGAGGTATTTGAGGCACTTCAGTCAATAATGTATGGAATTTGCACTATTAACCACTGAAAATATTTTTAGAACTATAATTGATGGAAGAGAAGAGACAAAACTTAATTTGTTGTGCTTGCAGTTGATAAGGCTGAATGTGGGGAAAACTCAAGGAGAAGGCTAAACTTCTAAATGGTTTCTTTATGGCCACCATGCTGGCTTCAACCATGGCTTTAACTTCCAGGAGGCCATGAATTTTGCCACCATGGAATAGATCAATTCAAGCAAAGTGGAGTCTCAGTGCAGTGATGGAAAAGCCACTGTGGGCATCTTGTAACCCAAGTGCTATGACCTGTGGAAACACAGTCATTTGGGGCAGTTGCAGACCCCATGGAGTCCAGGGCACATGCCAGCCTGGAGATGCCCACCTGGTGAAAGATCCAAGTGCTGGAGAGGACTAGCCTGGCCCCAGTCACCACTCATGTCAACAGGGTCATGACCCACTCAACCTATGGCCTCGGGCTGTGGTTCCCATTGCCTTACCCTTGTGCCTGGTGTTCCCATGGCCTTTCCATCCTGCAGTGATGCTTCCCAGCCCACGAACTTAGCCTAGACCCACTGCCCACCCCAGCTCTGCCAACCCTGGTCTGAGCCCCTCAACTGATAGACGTGGCCATGGTCCTTGCCCTCTGTAACTGGGGACACAGGAGCCAATACTCCAGGCTCCAGCCAGGAGGTGCCTCTTGATGGTCACAGGGCACACAGCTTTAGGCCCTCAGCCTCAGGCCCTGAGTCTAAGTCCTTGCCCACAGATGGAGCATTGATGAACAGGCCTGTACCACTAAGCCCAGGATCCAGCATCCTGCCAGGGATTCTGGGTGCTGCTGGGCCCCTGCCTCTGAGCCCATGGTCAGTCTTTATACTTCACTGCTCTGCTATGTGAGGGCTTCTTGATATTGCTCATATTTACATCTCAGAATTTGGCAAATTTCAGACCACTACCATTATAGAGCCTCTCAGTGCTGAGATAGCCCCTCTGGTGAGGCACATGGGTGCTGCTGAGTATATTAAGTATATTCTTTATCCTGCAAGACCTTTTAATGTCTTGACACTTCTACTTCTGTGTCACCAGCTGAGATTTCATCCATTGGACATGAGTGTCTCTGAGAACGAGGTCTTCCTGGGTTTACTGGGAACTCATCTATCCCAGCGTCCCAACTGCTGTTATGGAGGCTGCTGCACTTCTAAAGAGTTCACAATGGGGTTCCCCTTTAATCTTCTTCCCTTACCTACCCCTGCCCCAACTCTCCCTTTCTAGCAAAACTAGCCTCTTATGACCAATTAGGTCAATAGAGTTAGGAAAAAAGTATTATCTTTCTGAGTCATTCAGGTATTCAAAATGTGATGTCACCAGTATTTGTTCACAAATGAATTAAAAGTCACCAAAACGTAACATCTGACTTTCTTCTAATATTGTAGTTTCAAACAACTTGGAAAGGAGGTTATTCTCCATGCATTTTTCTTCATAATTAATTGAAAACTTTTAAGGCAAAATGTATTTTATGGGCTGGTTACACTGGGTGGTGATGCTGAGCTCAGCGCATGGTTTTGGGGTTCTGGCTGTCTGGCCAGGTGGGAGCACTGGGTTGCAGTCATGCTTTGAGGCTGGCCTTAGGCTCAGCCTGGTTCTCAGCTAAATAGCAGGACCCAAATTGCTGGGAAAGATGAGCAGCCCTAGGCTGAAGGTGCCATCTGACTATCTTCTCTCCACTGCCTTTTCAAAGCTGTTTGTATACTTCACACTGGTAACTCATTCACTCAACCCAATATTGTCCCCAAATAAGTGAACAAGGTTTCAGTCAGGAATGTGTGCTGTATAGAAACTAAAGAAGGATTGGACAACAAAGCAGAATGAGCTGGGGCTGGCTGAGTGGCCGGTCTCAGAAGGATTCACTGAGCAGGAGACTTTGGGGACCCAATTATAAAATGGGGAGGTCTGGAGAAGAATTCCCTGCTTGCAGGGAACAGCAAGTACAACAGACCTAACGTAGAACTTGTGAGTTTGTGTTTCCAGGAATACAAAAGAAGCTTATTTGTGTTTGGGACATAGAGAGGAAGGGAGAGAGGCAGGGGGCAGAGCATGGAGGGCCTTGTGTCTCATGTCAGGTGCATTATGTGGTGTTCCTTCAACTTGAAATGAGAAGGCATTAAAACAGCAGTGGAAAAGATGTGAACGACACATTTAAGTAATCAGCTTAGTTGTTCTGTGGAGAATGTGTGAGTAGGAGAAGCAATTAGACTATTTATAATACAAGTGAGAGTGACAGTTGCTTACACTTAATTGTTAGTATTGCAAATGCACAGAAATGGAAAAATTCAGAATATATTTTTAACATTGAAAATGACAGTTTGGATGAAGAAGGAAACATTCAGAGAAGCAAACCACTGCCCACCTTAGTACCACCCTTCCTTAACTTCCCCACTCCCATCCAGAATTTCAGGAAGGCTGTACATTTTGAAGCATGAGTAATCAAAACTTGGTGCTTGTCTAAAGTTCTCAATAAAGAGCAGAAAATCTCTTATCATCCTGTCTCTCCCATTCATTCAGGCAACTTTGTCTTTCTTAACATAACAAGAAGTTTATTCTTTGGAAAATTCAAGCGGAGGGACAACATAGGGTCTCCAGGCATACAGGAGGATGGACTGAGATGCCTGGCTGAAAAGGGGTTTAAGCTAATAGTGACACGGTGGAACCAAAGATGAAAGCACACTGCATTAACTGGAATGGAGTAGCCCAGAGAACTGCTGATCTCTCAGTACATCCTGCATGACCAAGGAATGAAATTTTATGTGATAGATAAAAGCCTCATTGACCCTGGAGTGCAGTAAGCAGAGAGCCTTCAGCTGCAGAGAGCTGCCTCACCCAAAGCATGCCTCTTCCCAGTTTGGCCCACATTTCATGACTGCTCAGTGCTGGAGCATAAAGCTTGGCCATCTTTGCTCAACTTAGCACATCGCTGAAGGGCCATTTGTGCTCCAGATTTGCCAAGACTATCTTTGGCCCTAATCCTCAGCTCCAATTTTCCCTGTGCTCAAACATGCTTCCTTCCTCTCCTTTTCTCAGATATGAATCCCAAGCACACTTGTTAAAAAAGATCTTGGTGCCAAAGTCTGTTCCATAACGGACCTGACCTACAACTTTACTTCAGGTTTCATTGTGTTTCAAAAGCCTAATTTTCTTGAGAGAATAAAGAGTGATCACCCCTACTAAAATCGTAGTGCTTTGCATGGTTATTTAGTGATATGAGGAGATAGAAATGGCTACATAAGAATTTCAGCTTTTAATTTATGGAATTATTGTTGTGACCCCTGGTGAAAAACATGTCCCTTTGAACACCAGAAGTCACAAGGGCAAGAAGAAACATCTTGCCATTGGCATGATGGATCAATACCAGTTTTACTCCTGGATTAACTGTAACCATGTACTCTGCTCTGAGCAAAACAGTATCATGTTCAGAGCAACTGACTCTCACATACATTGCTTGTGGGAATGTAACAATGTACAGCCCCATTGAAAAACTGTTTGTCAATGTTCTGTAAACTTGACCACTCATCTATCCATAGCCATTCTCTTCCTAGGTATTTACCCAATCATTAAAAATCAGGAACTGTGAATAATCCACGTGTCTGAACAGAGGAGTGGAAAAGCTATAGCCTATTAAATAGTATTCAGTTACAAAAAGCAACGATTCATTTTATATTCCTTCAAAAAAATGGCCAAAATAAGTTGTGCTCATAGAACTTAGATTGTGGTTGTCTCTGGTGAGAGTGGGAATTAACTGGGAAGTTCTAGGCATGTGAAAATGTTGTGGGGCTATGGGAATGTTCTGCGTCTCATTTAGAGTGATGATTACATGGGTGTATATAATTGTTTAAACTGGAGGAATTGGCAGAGCAAGATAGTATAATAGAAAGCTCTAAATCAGATTCAGTCTGCCTTACATCAAATGGATCTAATAGCTATTGACAGGACACTTCATCCACCAGTTGTAAAAAGTCGTAAAATACACATTCTTTTCCTCAGCACATGGATCATTCTCAAGAATAGACCATATGTTAGGTAACAAAATACATCTTTAAAAGTTCAAAAATTCAAATAATTCCAAGCATCTTCTCTGGACACAGTGGAACAAAACTAGAAATCAAAACAAAAGGAATTTTGGAAATTATGCAAACACATAGAAATTAACCAATATGCACCTGAATCTCCAGTAGGTCAATGAAGAAATTAAGAAAGAAATTGAAGAATTTCCTGAAACAAATCATAATGGAAACGCAATATATTAAAATCTATAGGATACGGTAAAAGCAGTACTAACATGGAAGTTTACAGCTATAAGTCCCTACATCAAAAAAGAGGAAAAACTTCAAATAAACCACCTAATGATGCCTCTTAAAGGAGTAGAAAGGTAAGAACAAAAATAATGCAAAATTAGTAGAAGAAAAGAAATAATAAAAACCACAGCAGAAATTAATGAAATCAAAATGCGGAAAACAATACAAAAGATCATTGAAACAAAGAGTTGTTGTTTTGAAAAGTTAAACCAAATTGACAAACCTTTAGCCGATTAAGAAAAAGAGACAGAAGATCTAAATCAATCAAAACCAAGAAGAAATGCACAAGTTTCTAGACACATACAACCTATCAAGATAGAAGGAGGAAGAAATCCAAAACCTGAATAGACCAATAACAAATAATGAGATCCAAGCCGTAATAAAAAGTCTCCCAGTAAATTAAAGCTGAGGATCCAATGGCTTCACTGCTGAATTCCACCAAACATTTAAATAACTCATACCAGTCCTAGTCAAGCTATTCTGAAAAGCAGAGGAAGAGAAATTACTTACAAACTCATTTTTTTTTTTTGAGTATTTTTGACCTGCAGTTGGTTGAATTCACTGATGCTGAACTCAGAGGTTACAGAAGGCTGCCTGTATTCTATGATGAGGGATCCATTCACACATAAGAGGACACATGAGCTCCAGTATACATGGCCAAGTGTGTTCTGAGCAACACTGTAAGAGGCCAAATTGGAAACAATCCAAATGCCCATCAACAGCAGAAACATTTATACTATTGGAAACCTTACAGCAGGCAACAGGACCAAGTACAGCTACAAGGAACAACATAGATGAGGGAAATAAAACAAACCAAAAAACCTATTAAACTGCATAAAGCACAATTCTGTTTACATAAGGTTATATAACATTTTCAAAATGAGCAACATTTTAGTACATTTATTTAGAATTCTTCTGCAGAAGGGTTTTGTCTCTTCTCTCCAATTTGTTAAATTTACTCATTTATTCATAACAGCATGAACTTGCAGGTATTTATTTTATTCTTTGGATTATAATTCAATAATACTTTAGTTACTCTGTGGCTCAACTTGTTTAAAATTTGGCCGTTGGGAGCTGTTTTCATTGGTTCTTGTGCTCTTCTAATATAACCCCATAAATGTTCTAACATGACCTCATCATTACTTTTGTTTGTTTTGTGTTTACCACATTCTTATTTTCCAACACTCCAAGATGCTATAGGCTCTTTCTGTATTTCCTGCACAGGTCTAGAAACTTTATTTCTTCATAAGTATTGCCACATCTTTATTTTTTCTTTAACATTATCAGGTTGCAGTTTTATTAATCATCTTTAGTCTAGATTGCCTTCTGTTTATTTATAATTCTATCATTGTTTTAATGTTTCATGTTCTGTTCGTTTTTATTTACTAATTGCTGAATTTCAACATATTTATAGATTTTTAGAAAATATAGATATTAATTCTCAAACAAATATAGTCAGATTCAGTTTTTAAATTGTTGACCTTTAATTTTATTTCAACGAGGTCAAGCTTATGCTCAATTTATTAACTTATGGAATTGTAATTGATATTTATTTGTAGCTGCACTGGGAAATTTTTGTAAATGTGTTCTACCTATTGAAAAGCATTTTCCATTTGATTTTTGGTAGTTGCAGGTTATAATGATCACGGTTAAGTTTGTTTTGCAAATTCTATAGCTTTTTTTTTTTCTTTTTTTGACGGAGTCTCGCTGTCGACCTCGCAGCCTCCCGAGTAGCTGAGATTACAGGCGTCCTCAACCATAGCCGGCTAATTTTTTATATTTTTGGTAGAGACGGGGTTTCACCATATTGGCCAGGCTGGTCTTGAACTCCCGACCCCAGGTGATCCACCCGCCTTGGCCTCCCAAAGTGCTGGGATTACAGGAGTAAGCCACCGCGCCCAGCCAAATTATACAGCATTCCTAATTTTGTTCTCTGCACTATTGGTTTCGGTCAAAATGCTGTTACATAAAAAAAAAAAAAAACAAATCATGATCTCCTATCATGATTGCAGACTTTTCAGTTTTACCATCTAAGTCTGAGTCTTGGCTCTCTATGTGTCAGTGCCATGTGGTTAGGTGCATAAAGTTCATTACTGCAATACTGAAATATTTTCCTATGAAATTTCATTAACCAGGATCCTATCAATACACTGGATATTAATATTGCTCCCCTAGATTTCTTTTGTTTAATATTTGTCTGTATTGCCTGTTCCCATAAATTGACTTTTAATCACTTAGCGTTGTTCTAAGATTGATTAAAATGTAGAATAAAAGGGAAGGTTATGGGAGGGTGGGACGTCTAATCTAAGCCCAGCCCAGTGATTACATTAGCTGGGCGCTGATTAGGTTAGGATGCCCAGGGATAAAGCCAGGATCTTTGGAACTTGGCTTCATTTGGAGTTCAGCTACCAAGAGGAAACCTTCCTCTGGGTCCTGGAGTATTTGGCCTGAAATTGGCAATTTGGGAGTTGCTGCTCCAGGGGGCTCCGTGCGGAGCTCGGCCGCCAGCCGCTCCGCCCAGCCTTTCCCGGCGTCCCCACGCGGGGCGCAGCCGCGAGAAAGGAACGCAGGTCACACCGTCAGCGCCCAGAGCAGCGCCAGTTTCCGGGCCCGGCCTGCTCTGGGAGCCATGAGTTGCAGCCGCCCCCCTCCCGACGTGGACGGCATGATCACCCTCAAGGTGGACAACCTGACCTACCGGACCTCTCCCGACAGCCTGAGGCGAGTGTTCGAGAAGTACGGGCGCGTGGGCGACGTATATATCCCGCGGGAGCACCACACCAAGGCGCCCCGGGGCTTCGCCTTCGTCCGCTTTCACGACCGGCGCGACGCGGAAGACGCCGAGGACGCCATGGACGGGGCGGAGCTGGATGGACGCGAGCTGCGGGTGCAGATGGCGCGCTATGGCCGCCGGGACTTGCCCCGCAGCCGCCGGGAAGAGCCGCGCGGCAGGTCCGGAGGCGGCCGCTACGGATTGCGGAGCCGCAGCCCCAGGCGGCGACACCGCAGCCGATCCCGGGGTCCCAGCTGCTCTAGGTCCCGCAGCAGATCTCACTATGGGGGGTCTCGCTATAGCCGGTCTCCCTACAGCCGATCTCCCTTCAGGAGATCTCGCTACAGCCGATCTCCCTACAGACGATCTCATTGCAGAGGATCTCGCTACAGTCAATCTTACAGCCGGCATCACTACAGCCGATCTCCCTACAGGGAATCTCGCTACAGGAGGTCTCCCTACATCCGGTCTTCCCGCAACAGGTCTCTCTACAACCGCTCTCACTCGAAGTCTGGGTCTGGCTCTCGCTCTCCATCAACCTCCAAATCCAGCTCTGCGCGAAGATCCAAGTCCTCCTCCATCTCCAGATCTTGCTCAAGGTCCAGGTCTAGATCTACGTCCCGGAGTACTACCCCCATATCCAAGAGGAAATCCAAGTCCAGGTCGTGATCCAAGAGTCCTCCCAGGTCTCCTGAAGGGGAAAAAGGACAAGTGTCCTCCAAGGAAAATGATCATCAGCTGACGCGTGATGGACGACTTGGGGAAAAGGACTCCATACTCAGTCCATGGAAGCAGAATCCCTGGAAGAAGCGACTGCCTAATGAAACGGTTGTGTGACATTTGTCTACCTTTTTACCAGTTTGAAGTGTTGCATCAGATGGCAAGATTCATTTCATGTGCCATTGTGTTGTTATTCAAATTTTCTTGTAATTTAGTGAGGTAAACTACTTTAGATTGGATTTGGATGTTTGAGGGGAAATTTTATATTTGTCTTTTTTTGTTTTTTTTTGAGATGGAGTCTAGCTCTGCTGCCCACGCTGAAGTGCAGTGGCGCCATCTGCATCTTCCACCTCCTGGGTTCAAGCCATTCTCAGGCCTCAGCCTCTGCAGTAGCTGGGATTATAGGCACCAGGCACCACAGAGGGCTAATTTTTGTATTTTTAGTAGAGACGGGGTTTTGCCATGTTGGCCAGCCTGCCCTCGAACTCCTGGGCTCAAGTGATCTGCTCACCTTGGCCTCCTAAAGTTCTGGGATTACAGGTGTGAGCCCCTTTGCCCAGCGTATATTTGATTCTATAGTGCTGATATTTTTGGTTTGAAACGAACAGGTTGGTAACCTAATTTGTGGCCCCCTGTCTCTTAAGAAATGTGTGCAGCCATTACACACAGCCCAACGCTGTCACGACATTGCCTCAAAACTGCCTTCATTCCTTAAAGTTAAAAACTTACAAAAGGCGGTATAAATGTGTATGTGTAATGTTATTACCTTTAAATCTAACTGGTAATATGACCCAAATTTGTATAAAGATTTTTCAGGTGAAAAGACTGGGTTTTGAGCAAACACAATTCTAATATCTTCTGTGTTTTTGTGTACCAGGCCTGGCTGCCTAGCAGTTGAGTGATGCTGGTTAGCTGTTAAGGTGGCCTGTTGCAGTGCAGAGTGCTGAGCTGCTTCCTGTTTTCTTCTGTTTCCTCCTGAAAAAAGAAGCCCTGTCCGGAAGACTGTTCAGTTTATTAAAATGCCTGTCAACTGCCCTTCTAGTCACCCAGGCCTGGAAGAGAAATAATAGAGCATGCAGTGAGCACATCTAGCTGATGATAATCACACCTCTTCCCCCTCTCTATTCTGTTAAATGGCAAATCTGATCATATCAACATACATGAACTTAAAATATGGGGAATGTTATGGAAGAAATGGCTTGTAACTTTGTAGGTACTTATAACATGGTGTATGTTTTTTTATTATGAATATTTCTTACTATTACCATGTTTCTATCATTGAATTAAAATGTTTTGTTGGTGTTACCTTTTCTCAAAATAAAATTAGATATATTTTATAGAAAGTTGGTTGTTTTATTTTGCTGTTGGACTACTTTCTGCTATTTGTACCTTTGGGAAAATTATTTTACCAAGTTTCTCATAGGATTCAATTATAATTTTAAAAAAACTCTACAAGGTTTAGCTGTGTGCTTTATTATTTTATCACAATGTAGTTTCTTTGTACACTCTTTCTTTCCTCTTCCTACCTGTGATTTTTAACTTCCAAAGTCTTTTCAAAGAATCAGATTTTGAATTTTGTTATTACCTCTACTGGGTGTAATATTTTCTTTTGTAATTGTTTCTGCTTATACCTTTATTTTCTTTCCTTTTTTATTTTGATTCATCCTGTTTACTGAGTTGAGTGCTAAATTCAATCATTTTTGAACTTGCTGATTTTTTTCTTTCAGTTCAATTCGATACTCCTCTTTATATATGTTGTGATTTGACCTTAAATCCTGATATTAACACACCATACCAATCTGCCGTAATCAATCCATCCTGGGTGGTAGAACTGATGGCCTCTGTACAGTTAAAGTTGTGGTTGAAGCCTGTGTGGCATCACTAAGTTACTAAGGTAGCTTAAAGCTCAGCATTTTGTTTGTCACACATTTGTCTTCAAATACTCTGAAATATACTGGATTCAACCACACCAGAAGTTTGAAGATTTGGAAAGAAAATACTGGAAGAACCTCAGCCTCCTAGTTGATGAAAACAGTAAACAATGTAATCCTGGACACGTAGGAACAATTTAGGAGTTTCTGGAGCAGGAATGTGAGGCTGTCACTGAAGAGAGTGTCAACACACCCTACCTGTACTTTGGCATGTGGATGACCACCTTTCCATAGGACACGGACCTTTACAACATCAACTACCATCACTTCAGGGAGCCCCTGTCTTGGTACACAGTGCCCCAAAACCATAGTCAGCACCTGGAATGCTCAGCCGGGGAGCTTTTCCAGGTAGTTCTCAGGGTTATGAGGCCTTCTTGTGGCACAAGATGGCCCTCATCTTGCCCACAGTGCTCATGCAGAATGGGGTTCCCTTCAATAGCATGACTCAGGAGGCTGGAGAGTTCATGGTGACATTTCCCTATGACTACCACACGGGCTTCAATTCTCACAGGGACCATCCATTTCACCACCTAGGATGGGTAGATTATGGCAATATGGCATCTCAGTGTAGCTGTGGGGAGGGCAGGGTGGCCTTTTCCATGGACACCTTCACACACATCATTAAACCTGATCATTATGACCTGTGGAAAAGCTAGCAAGATGGGGCCATTGTGGATCAAAGGGAGCCCAAGGTGCTGGCCAGCCAGGAGCTCATTACCTGGCAGGAGGACATTGCACCTGGCCTGAAGCTCCTCTGGACCTGGCCTCTTCTAGGCCTGTGGTCCTGGATAGTGGGACCTACCATTGAACCCACATGTACCAGTTGCAGTTTCCCTGGTGCCCCATGGCAGCCCAGGAAACTGATGCCCATCCAAGGGTCACTGCCCCCAGAGGCTCCCAAGAACACACCATGGCCCACCATCTATCTTGAGTCTGTTTGCCCTGGTTCTCTGCCTGTCAACTGGCAGAGGTGGTCATGGTGGTCTTTTTCAGGAACTAAGAGCTCAGGAGGGGATCCTCTAGTCTCCCACCAAGTGGCACAGCACACAGAGCTCTCGATCCTGGGGTCTTTGCCCCTACTTAGGATGGAACTTTGATAGACAGGCCTGTATCTCTCAGGCCTGCATCTCAGCAGCCCATCAAGGCTACCACGTGCTGCAGTGCCCCCATCGTCAACCTTTGGAGACAACTTGGATCTGATGCTTCGATGTGTGCTGGCCCGTATCTGACATCCCCAGACAGCATGACACTGACCCACCCTGTGTTCCACTGATTCCTCCCAACATCATAATGATGCTGAGAAGATTCTCCAGAGATGCTGCTGGAGAGTGCAAGGCCTCTTGAACCTGGCTGAGGTTGTAGCAATGGACCACTCTTATACCTCTGGGGTCTTGGCCCCAACCGATATTGTCAGAATATGCTGGGCCCTGACTCCTGTCCTGGGGTTAAAGCCAGACAGCGCTGCACCTCTGAATTTGGAGCTATGTGCCTCTGATACATTATCTTAATCCTTTGAACCCATGGCTACTGAATATATCGCCAAATGTGGCTGTCCCTCTGACCATAACCTAACCCGAGTAGCCAAAGAAGGCTCCACTCAAGCGCAATTCGAGCCTGGGGCTGTCTCAGTCTCTTTTACTTTGAAGGACTAATATATACCCAAGGCTACCAGAGGCTGTTTCCTGTTTATTAAATTAATTTTTCCTAGTGTGTATCTACCAAGTAAAGAAAGGAATATCGGCCGGGTGCGGTGGCTCACGCCTGTAATCCCAGCACTTTGGGAGGCCGAGATGGGCGGATCACGAGGTCAGGAGATCGAGACCTTCCTTGCTAACACAGTGAAACCCCATCTCTACTAAAAATACAAAAAATTAGCCCGGTGGCAGGTGCCTGTAGTCCCAGCTACACTGGAGGCTGAGGCAGGAGAATGGCGTGAACCCAGGAGGCGGAGCTTGCAGTGAGCTGAGATCCGGCCACTGCACTCCAGCCTGGGTAAAAAAGCGAGACTCCGTCTCAAGGAAAAAAAAAAAAAAAAAAAAGAAAGGAATATCCTGAAAACATATTTTAAAATCACTACTATAAAAGAGATAAACCTAAAACTAAGTGATTCAGAATGACTGAAAAATAAAAGAATGGGCAAAACTAGATCAAGGAAAATGCAAGCAAAAGAAAAGAGGGCTGGTAGATCTTAATATAAAACAAAGAAATTTTAGGTACTTCATATAAGTGCAATGATATAATATCTGTCTTTTTATTTCTAGTTATTTCACTTAGCATGATGTCCTCCAGGTTCATCCATGTTGCAGCATGTGTCAGAATTTCCTTCCTTTTCAAGGTTGAATAATATTGCATCATATGTATACACCACGTTTTGCTCATTCCAATCACCCATGGATGGACCATTGGGTTGTTTCCTCCTTTTGGCTATGTGCATGGTGCTGTTGAGAACACTGGTATAAAAGTATCTGTGTGAGTCCCTGGTAAAACCATTTTAATCATCTTTTAGAAGTTCCATATTCTTCCTTGGGCATCATTAATATGCCTTTGCATCTGACTTGACTGGAGATCTGATATATATCTGTAGTAAATTAGTTTTTAATATCATCTTAGTTTGAAAAATTGTAATTAAATTAAATTTAAACTAAAAATGTTAGATTAAAAATTAATTGTGTCACTTCTCATGAATTTGGGGAAACTTCTGACAGCAACATACCTTGTTCTCCTCTACCAAATATGTGCACACCAACATTTATTACTATGTGGGAGAATTCATGGATCTCTCAGTTCTATCCTAGGTCCCAGGTTTAGGAGTCTAGAGTTCCTTTCAATATCCCCTTATCATGGATGTCTCTGTGGCTCTGAAACAGCATTTTCATTCTTCAAAGAGTCAGTTAGAGCCTGGGGAAAGGTGTGTTCTACAATCTTCTCATCCCTGCTGGTGGTAACTCACTATGGGTACTATGTGGCTCTGTGGGAAGCTGGGCATGGTGACCAGGTGACTGTGTGGAGCCAGGAAGCTCTTGCAAAGCTCACAGCCAGCACTGTACATGCACTGAAGCTCGCGGGATCCCTTTACCTGGCACAGGACAGGCAGTGCGAAGCTTGTGTGCTTCTCTCAGAGTGAGCGTGGGTGGGTAGTGGGCACTGCTTCTAGCGGGCTTCCTTCTTCCTGGCCTTCTGCTTTCAGAGGCTGCCAAGTCCTGACTGCATCCATGTAGGGTGAGCGCTTGCCCAGAGAATCCAGAGGCGGGTGTCCCAGGCCCCTGTGGCAGGCTCAGGCAGTGCTTGGGAGAGGGTTATCCAGGGAGCTTTCCGTGCTGGGCTTGTGTTTCTAGGGGGAAAACAGGAGGGGTGGGCATGGGCTGCAGGGTCCAGAGAGGATTGTGTCACAGAGGTGGGGAAGAAAGTTCTGGTAAAATCTCATTTCCCTCCTCTTTTCCTCCTCTGGGCAAGCTCCATGAGGAC